CCCCAAAACCCCAAAACCCCAAAACCCCATGCTGATGATTTATATCCTAAAGTGATGAATTAAAATTTAGAAGAAAGCTGAAATTATATTATTAAATCATGCAAGATAATTAGATAAAATCCTTTTCATTTGCAGCCCTTGCAGGAGAAGTTTCCATGAATCCATTCAATCAGTCATAAGTTTAGCCTTAAATAACCTAAAAATGATTTAAACTGAAAAGAAGTCACTCTAATGATGCTAATAGTTTTGTGTCTAGGGATTTAAAGAACGATAAAATATCTAAAAAATAGAGATATTAATCTTTATAAAATATGGAGTGCTTGCAATTAACATAGAATTAAAACATCAAAGAATAGATTCCAGATTATCAAAATTAAGAGTAAATATTTCATCGAAAAGAAAGAATTATAACTGATACAATCACAGATCTATCTAAATTCGAACTAGCTTAATCTGAAAAATTCCTTGGATGTCAAGATAATTATGGAATTAGTGAAAATTAAGCTTAGGGTATTGCCCTGAAACGTTCTAAATTATAAGCTTGCTTAAATGAAACAGAGGCATTTGCACTAACGACAGAGCAAAAAAGACTCAAAAGACTCAAGAGTAAAATGTAATTCATTGAGTCAGAACAAAAAAGGACACAAGATTCAAAACTAAAACTTGCTGAAAAGATTAAAAAAGGTACTTTTGATTAAATTAAGATAGAAGACTCCAAATTGGATATTGGGATCAGTAAATGCATGATCAGCTAAGACATGATCAAGGGATATCTAGAGGAACTATAGATTTCAGATGTTAATATATTTTTCTCTGCTTAGTTTGATGATTAGACTCCTTTCATTAGTGAGTAGGTTAAATTGCTAAAGGACTTGCAAATACTTCAATGGAATTAAATTTTTTCAATGAATATTAAGAAAGGGGCTGAAGTTCTGATTATCAAGCTCTACATAAATACTTAGATTCATGGAAACATTTAAATTGATGAATTTTAAGTTTAGATCAGCAAGTTTCTCACTAAGCTCATGGACTAAAAACTGTCAAAGCTTACTTATGAAACATAAAACTAGACATAAATAATTCTAATGCTAAAATGGAGATACGATGATACTAAGTAAAAGTATTTAGAGCTTTAAAAGCGCCTTTAAAAGATTTAAGTAGTTCAGAGAAACTATAAATAGAAGCTAGAGGAAGCAGAAAACTCAAGCTAGTTACAAAATATTAAAAGAGATCATAGCTAAGAAACACTATACAGCATAAATTTAGATTAGCAATAATCACAATTGCTGAATGATACATAGAATTCCAAATTTCTAACTGGATTAATTAGACCACTATCTTAGATCGAATCAGCACCAAAAATTAAAAAAAAAGTACTGGCAAGAAAATCTCAAAGTAGAAGCAGAGTTGACTCCAAGCTAGACTAAACTATTCTTTCTAATAGTAAAATTTCCTAATAAAACTATGATGATCTAATAAGTTCGAGAATCTCTCCTTTCAAATTTGCTCTTGGTAAAAGCATCTAGAATTCTCCTGATAATACAGTTAGGGCAAGGAATCAACAGCAGATATCACTAAATTCTTCAGGAATCGAAGTGAATACTCAAGAGTAGCAGTAGATTTAACTAATGGATTAAAGGCATTAGGCTTTATAAAATAAAAAAGTTAGAGTTCCTTCTAGGGAATAGTATATTTAAGATTAGAAAAAATAGTAATAATAGAGCTAGCCTAAAATCTCAGGATTTACTATCAACCTGAAAAATTTAAAAGAAAAGACAAAGCAAGTCATGGAATAGCTGAAATAATCTAGTCCTGTAACGTAGCAATTGTAGTAATAAAATCAGATTTCCTAGAGGGGGCCAATCAAAGTATTTGAAAAAAAGCCTAAAGAATCATAGAATGATATGCAAAGTTATCTTGACCAAGACATTTCAAGAATCTCATCAGATTAGTTTCCTAGTCAAGCAACAGATAGAAATAATAGCAATAAGATAGTAATTCCATAACTAAAACTTAATTAAATACAATCAGATCAATAATAAAACTTGAATTCCTAACCATTAACTAAGTTTAAAATTGATAAGAAAAAATGATTCTAACAAAGTCATCAAGTGGAGGTTTCATCAGATAAAAAGAATGACTCGAACTTCCAAATTAGTCAATCTTAGATTAATGAGAGTCGTTCTGAGTACAGAGATACTAGTCCAGGCGATACTGTTAATTAATCCCAAATAAGCTTAAATTCTTAAGATCCCTCAAAGAAATTTGCTTTAAAAAAATAGAGAAATCAATCCGGTGTTGGAGCATCTTCTTCAATAGATAGTATTTTAAGACAACATAATAACACTATAACTGTTGCAAAAACAACCATACCTTAAAATATTCTACCTAATAATATATCTTTCGTTCAAGATTCTGCTAATATTCAAAAGCATTTCACATTCAACTCAGATTAAAAGCTTGATCATTAAGACTCTATAGGAAAAAATATTGATTCATCAAAATAAAGAGTTCAGGATTATAATGATGATGAATTCTTTTACCAAAAATAAGAAAATCTTGATAGCATAAGTGAATTTGAGTTAAAAAGTTCAATAGCATAGTCTGATTGTAGTCCAATTAGCATACCATAACTAGATAAATCAATGCCTAGTAAGATATCTTCTACAACTGACCAATCATCATTTAATCAGGCGAATCCAATAATGATGAGCCCTGATAAACTCAACATGTTTTATCTTATGAGAGGAAGCCCTAACCTTTTTAATCTCTCATTGATGAAAAATGCATAATCTTAAAAAGAAGTATAAAATGATGTGAATAGCAGTCCATACTTTAACAATAATGGAAAAGATATAAATTAAAAACAATCTTCAAAAAATCAGAATTAAAACATAACTTCTCATCATAACATACCTCGTAAAACAGCTCATTAATAAAATGCTAATAAAATTGTGGAAAAAGTTTAAGTTGCTGATAGTAAATAGTCTTCCAGAAGTATTTCTTCATTTTTCAAGGGATTCTTCTGATTTTATTTGATCTGCATACCAAAACTAATATCTACTAAAATTTGTAATAAAAATCTCTATTTATTATACGTAAGAAATTAAGGTGGAAATATATACCTTAATATATTTGATTTCGATTTAATTCATACTTATATCTTAATTTCATTTATTCTATATTTCTAAAATTATCATATTCTGGGGTTTTGGGGTTTTGGGGTTTTGGGGTTTTGGGGTTTTGGGG